AAATCCTGGCATATATTCAAAATGCAGAACATGGGGGTATGTGGAACACTTCCATAGTCAAATTGTGCATGCAGTCCCGGCACGGATGGTGATAGGACATGCATGGGGAATGATCCTCTGGCCGCAGCGCCTGGGTTTGAAGGTGAGTTCCAATACCTCAGAAAGTTGTCAGAACTAATGAACCCCAAGACAAGATCCAGCTTGCAGTGGAAAACAACGCCTTTTGTGAGGTTGAGAGACTTTCGGCTGGTCTGCGTGTGTTTGGTTCTACCTAGAAATCAACGGATTTTACGATTGTTTGCCATCAGTACTTCCCGCAAAACAAGAAATGCAAACGGGAAAGGCAAAACACATCAGGAAGCGCTCACCAGAAAGTCCTGCCCGAATCTACATGGCTTCTGGTGGTTTTCCGGGTTGGTTCCTAATAGAAATATGAAGGGGGGACAAGTGGAATGGCATTGATGAATTCTGTGGGGTGACACCCTGAAGGTTCAGTCAAGACTAACTTCCGGAACTTACAAGCTAGTTACAAACCATCAATGGGACAAATATCACAGTTGATTGCCATATGGCTTCCACACATCGAAGATTCTGATTCTGAATGCCTCAAGCAAGTCACAAGGGGCGTGATGCCAGGATAGACCTTTGCATCCATGGGGTTACACCCCACTATAACATACACTTTCTATCGTGTTCTTCAGAAGTATATGCCCCGGAAAATGTAACATGTATCCTGACCCTTCGTTGGTGACGATATGTTTGTGCCCCATGCACATTACATATATATATCCGCCGACCCCTTCTCCTCAAAGGGGGAGGCGCACGGGAAGGGTGGTTGCAGTACAAGCGCATGGATTAATCTTTGAGGCAAGCATATGACTACTGGCATCATACGGATGCCCATCATCATCATCATCATCATCATCATCGATATGATCCTTCATCATTCTTATCGTCAACATCATCATTATGATTTCTATATCCTTCAACATCATCATCCTCGTCATCATCCTTATTTTTTGATATACGTTTCAATTGTGGCGTTAGAGAGGGTTTGACATGCAAAAGCTGCGTGGACATGATGATCATGATGACTGCCCCCCCCAGCCCCGGAAGATTGGGGCTTAACGCCCCGCTCTGGCCCATTGTACCTGCCACACAGGGGACTCATTTAGGCTTGGGCGCAGGGGGCGCTATCTCAAAAAATGAGCCCCTTACTTTTCGGCACAAGGAGTGCTAGGGATACTGGGCCCGTGGGGTAAGTCTCGGGCCGCCCTGGTGATGCCGAGGATGCTACGTTAGACACCATTGGCAATGCAGAGGATGCTACAACGATAGTCATGATCACAGTCCTCATCCTTATCATCACCAGCAACAGGTCATCATCATCTCTTACTAGCCGGCGCTGGTGATGCCGAGGATGCTACGATGATAATTATCAAGTCCTCATCCTTGTCATCATTATCATCATGGTCATCATCATCTCTTATTAGCTGGCACTGGTGATGCCGAGGATCATCGTCTCTTGGTAGCCGGCACTGGTGATGCCGAGGATGCTACGATGATAGTTATCATCACAGTCCTCAGTATCATCACGGTCATCACCATCTCTTATTAGGCAGCACTGGTGATGCAAAGGGTGTTACGATGATAAGTTATCATCATAATCATCATCATGATCATCCTTGTTATGATGTCATCGCTCTTCTCATCAGTAACGTTAGACCCCATTGGCAATGCAGAGGATGCTACGACGATACTTATCATCACAGTCCTCATCCTTATCATCACTATCATCATGGTTATTATCATCTCTTATTAGCCGGCACTGGTGTCCTCATCCTTATCATCACTATCATCATGCGTAATCATCATGGTCATCATCGTCTCTTAGTAGCCGGCACTGGTGATGCCGAGGATGCTACGATGATAGTTATCATCACAGTCCTCATCCTTGTCATCATTATCATCACGGTCATTATCATCTCTTATTAGGCAGTACTGGTGATGCATAGGGTGTTACGATGATAGCTATCATCATAATCATGATGTCATCGCTCTTCTCATCATCATCATGATGCTCATCATCATCTCATTCTTGTTCAAGGGCTGCCGCCCCCTGGATTTAGTTGTGGTTTTCGAGCAACCAAAAACACTGCCCTTGGTTTTGGTTTCTTTGGTTTCTTGCGAATGATGCGTAGTGATGATTATCATCAAGGCAGGACTCCAAATCTCAATGACCCAAATGGCATCTGAGGCGAGGTGCCGTTTCGACAGTGATGCGTAGTCATGATTATGATCATCGCTGCTGGAGATGCTGGGGATGCGTAGTGATGATTATCCTCATGATTGCCACAGATGCTGCGAATGATGCGTAGTGATGATTATCATCAAGGCAGGACTCCAAATCTCAATGACACAAATGGCATCTGAGGCGAGGTGCCGTTTCGATAGTGATGCGTAGTCATGATCATCGCTAGGCACCCTTGGTAATGCAGAG